GCTTCAATGACACCGCGCACAAAACCACTTTCAGAAGCGACAACAGAACCAAGGTTGGTGGCTTGGACAATGTCCTTGCAGCCTTCTTTGGCAAACTCCTTGAGCGTCGTGATGGGCTGACCGTCGGTCGAAGCATCTTTGCAGACGTTGCGCTCCACGGACGAGACGGCGAACGTGACCATGGCGAGGGCAATTGAAGAATGGGAAATGGTGCTGGCGGTGTAAGGTCAACGTGCACATACATTTTTGGCAATTCACAATCGAACAGCCCGACTTGCGTTTTTTGTCACTATTTACCGTAAGCATGCGTGTTTCTAGTCGAAGCAATCTGGTTTGGCTAATTGCACACGTGTTAGCCACGTAACCGGAAAGATATGCCAGTGATATTGGAGACCGGTCGTTGGCAACGTGCTGTCATGACAACGCGGTGCTGTTTCTTGCATGTCTTGTACTCGAGCCTCGCGACATTATTGCAAGAGAACAATAAAACCGTTGTGTATTCATCCCGATATTTGAGATTGGTTGACGATAAGCTTCTTGGCTGCGTGACCGAATGGCGCGTCTGAGCGAAAGCCATCGCAAAGACGCTAGCACCCACCACGCGCTTGATCATGAGGCAGCTCGTACCTCGACGACGGGGCCATTGCACTAAAGCGGCGAGCGAGCAATGGAATGCGCGACGCTTTGCCACTGCTTGTCTTCACGCACTGCATTGCTCGCTCGCCCTTTGTTGCTGTCGTTGCCGTTGGGGTTCTCGGAGCTCTCGGTGCCAGGCGTGCTTGTGGGTGACCTATTTCGCAATGCGATGAGCGCACGACCTTGCATCCAAAGTGGTCGCGGAGCTCGATGGCCGCTGAATTCGCCAGTCTTGTCAACGCCGCTTCGACCATGGAGCCGGACAGCGCTCAAGTTGGGGCGCAAGAGGCAGTCTATATCATGCTGAGAATCGTATCGCATGTTGTGAATGTCCTCGTTGTCGCAGCGCTTTTTGGTCACCTATGTATGATCCTGAGAGATGTGGGCTGGAATGGGGAAGCGCACCCGCGCCGAAGGTCGTTGGTCCAGAAAGGTGGGTTGTGGTCGTTGTCATGAGCAGCAAGAATCGAGTCCGCACTACAATAGCGTGTAATATCTTCCAATATCACGACGTCGCACCGCTCGCATCTTGCGCGACGGCTTGTCGGGGTTGAGAGGCTTGATGGCGCGCGCGATGACGCCGTGGTCCTTCGAGAAACGATAGCGTTTCCGCAACGGCGTCGAGACCGTCGAGGACCAGGAGCGCCTTGGACTTGAGGAATGACCTAACCATGCAATATGTAATAATGCAGCGTAGCACGTCGTTCGTACAGAGCGTCGCCCGCCACGAGCTGCTGCATGACGTTCCAGCATCGCGTCGCAGCATCTTGTGCATACGAGGAACTCGTCGAGGTTGCGCTCCTTGTACGTCTAGGTCTCTATAAGAGACGTGCAATGGGAGAGTCATACGCACCCGCAGTTCGCACGGAAGGTTGCCGGTGTGAAGCGGTGGGAACGGGTTGCTGACGACGGCCGACGCGGGAAACGCAGTCGGGAAAATGATGGCGTCGTGGTCGCCGCCACGGGGCAGCAGCAAAACCGAGTCCGCGCACTATATATCAAGTGTAGTACGACCCGTGTCATTGTTGGCGTCGTACCGCTCGAACCGCGGGCTACTCGACGTGCGGATCGCGACCCGGCCTTGCTCAACACTCTTCGCGATCGAGTGGCCACTCGCAAAGAGCGTGTAGAAGTCCCTACGCTCATGTCAAAGCAAGACCATCATGAAATGCAGCCTACTCGTGGAAGAGCAGCACAGCCCCGGCGCAAATCGTAACCTCTTGCGCAACCGCAACCACGTGCATGACACAAACGGCGACAAGCGCTTCGCCTAGGGTGCAAAAATGTAGCTTGACAATGAGGCGTCGTGATAGTACCGATGGCCTCCGAGTGGCACGTGAGCAGCAACGCGACGACCTGGACGAAGCCGCCCAGCAAGGCGTGGATCTCGGCCGCCGAGACGGGGTCCGAGTTGTATTGGGCTCCCATAAACACGAGGCCGCGCTGCAGGTGGCCGTGTCCACTGTAGTGGAACACGGCAACGCCGTCGCGCTGGACCAACACGAGGTTGGTGCGCGTCGCCGTCAGCGGCCGGAGCACAACCGCTAGAGGACACTGTGAGCGATTCGATTTGCAGCGCGTGTTGGTGTGGTACTACCGCAAAGGAGCGTCGGGTGACGAGCCTGTACAGTAAATCATCATCAGTCATGACACGAGAGTGATCGAGAGGACACACTTCGTCGGTCGCGGCTGCCACGAGGCCTCTCTTGATCGCGTTGTACTCCTCGTCCACATTGACGCTCTGTCACAGTTAGAGGCATGAGCCAGTGCGTCGATGAAGAGGACGTACCGCAATGTTTGTGCACTTGCCGTGATGCCGCCATTCCACCGTGGCGGCGCGTACAGGAAGTTCTAGCGGAAGAACCATCGTACCGGTGTTGAAAGAAGGGGACGTACGATGAGGCGCTTGAGCGGAGGAGGCGCCGCTGCTGCCGGCAAAACGGGCGCGGCTGCGAGCAAGAAAGACGCCGCTGGAGGCAGCGTCCTATGGCGACAGGTTTGTGCAAGGCGGTGCCTACATTTGATAACGTACTAGCGCTTCTTGGGCGTGGGCTCCAGGTGCTCCGTCGCGGCGCCGAGGTGCGCAGCCTTGACCGCGACAAGGCGCGTCCACACGGAGCTTCGGCCAGTCTTGAGCTCGTGCGCAAGCACAACGTCCGAAAGCTTGGTCGCCTTGACGCTGCCTGCCATGTCTTGGACCTTGGCTGCCGGGCGCGACGGCGCCGTCGACCGCTACGTGAACGGCGAGGACTTGGTGCGGGCGGCATGGCGCAGCCTCGCATTTGGGGCCGACGACGAGGCGTTTAGCGTCGATAACTTGTGCGCGACCACGTCTTGTGTTGGCGGGGCTGCCGCGCGCTCAGCGACTGTGAAGTAGACTGGTCCATGCACCGACTCGCTCGCCTTTGCTATTTTGTAGAAATACCCCGTACGGAAAGGCTGTGTGCAACGAAGAGAGAACGTGTAGCCCAGATGCGCGAACGTGGGAGCGTTGGACGCAGCATTGTGCTTCTACGAGCTCGCGCACCTCGGCCGCAGCTCGTGTGGAAGCGTTCCAAAGCGCTCGGTTGTTGAACTACAGAAAGGCAGCAGCTGCCTCTTCTTCGTGCTTGGGAGCGTCAGGTTCATACCATTCTCTCCGATTTACTGCAAATGCTTGGTGCCGCTAGCAACGTTGGCGAGGAAGGTCGGCGCGGACGCAGAGACCACATTGACCAAACGACGCTTGGCAGGCGCGCAGACGTCGCTGCGCTCTCGCCTTCTCCGTCGAATGAATTCAGTTGGTCTTGTTGCACACGTGCTAGCCACGTATATTAACCGGAAAGATACTTTGGGGCTACCAGCTGGCACACGCTTGCAAGCGTCTGCAGCGCAGTAC